ATTATTTTATAAAGACTTCCATATGCCATTGAAACCAGTAGCCAATTTCTCATGTTCTGCTGGTTTTCAAATCAACTTTCTTTCATTGCCCAGTAGCCAAAGGCACAATCCTAGTCATATAAGCAACCCATACTAGTTGTTGCATCTTTAGAGCTCCCCTCTTTCTACATTTCTAACAGATATTTTCATCTCAGTCTCATGAAACCTCTCGCATGTGTGGTACGCTTTTGACAACTGTGTTTTCCCGACAATTGCATTATGGAACAAACATTTGCACGTAGCTTACTGCCTTGTGCGGAATTGCTGTGCTTATAATGTGAAGAAATAATAGTTTATCAACATTTCAAGTTAAACTTTCTGATCTGTAGCATGAGCCTCATTGCTTTAAAAAACAAAAAAGGGGGATGTAGCCTAGGCCTACTGGTTGTATGAATTTGGGATCTATCGTCCCACAACTGTCCCAGAGTCTGTTTGGAGTAGGCTATTTCTTTCTCACACAGAACGACATGTTGACCAATAGAATAGGTAAACTTTTCTACTATGGGGGATAGTAGATTGACATAGGCTATGTTCATTACTCATCTTGTTGGCTGAGGAAAAGTAAATGTGGACAGTTATTCTAACATCTTCAAATTGCGCATCGAAATTCGGTATGAAGGATTCACATCGTTGCATCCTCGAGTTGCATGTCCTGTTAAAATGGATTACCATAATCTAAATGTGATTTCTGTAATTCTGAGCACTGTGGGTGGACGCCCAAATCAGGTTACACACCCAATGCATATGGGTCCGGTAAATGTCTTAAATGTCCGGTAAATTAAAATGCTTCCGGTCAAATGTCCGACGCCACATTTTCCTAACGGAAACCCTGGTGTGCGAGTGTATGTGTATCATCCTAAGTGCATGAGTTTCATAAGTGCCTATTTATTTGTGTTCCTCCAATCCTCCTGCGCTTTCCATGTGTCTGCCTGTGTGCGTGTATATGAGAGTGTATGTGCGTGCATGAGTCCCTCCCCAGCCCGGTCGGTTCCTCCTAGGACCCCCCCTGCTCTCTCTGGACGTGGGCCTGTGGTGGGGTCTTCACTATGGTAATGACCGAAGCTGTGTTGAGGCGTGGGGCCGTAGCCAGGAGGTTGCCCCCTCCAGACTCTAACCCACGGGCGAACCTCTGCAGGGCTGCCAGCCTGGCCCCCAGGCCCTCCAGCTCTCTCCTCATCCCTGCGTTCTCCACCCCCAGCCTCTCCACCTCCCTCTGGAGCTCCTTCTTTTGCTGCTCCAGGGCCTCGCGCTGGGACACGCGCTTCACCCGGCAGCTGGCCGCGTAGCCGCGGTTCTTCAGGGTACGCCGGCGCTGCTTGAGCTTCTGGACCTCCTCGCGGGATAGACCCCGTAGGTGCAGGTTGAGCTCCCGTACAGACAGGGACATGAGCTCGCTGTCCGACAACACCGGAACGTTCTCACCACACTCCCGCTTCACCTGGAGAGGGATGGAAAGTTGTATCATTTTCTTTGCAAAGTTTGTTGTGACGTGTGTGTAAAATGCATTTTAAAATTAGAATAAACTCCAAACTTAAATGTTTTGCAATTCTACCTTCAGGGCTTTGCTGCTTCTTTCTGATGTCATGGTCTGGCGTTATCCTGTGTCTCTGACACCAGTAAACACAGATTTATAGACGATCTACAAGAGAGGGAGTGAGAGAAAGGACATACAATTAAGTTGAAGCATTTGAGAAATATTAATTTCACGTGTTCCCTATATACTACTTAGTATAGTAGGATATAAAGATATTCCATCTTGGACTGAAGATTTTCTTTTGGAAAAAAATTAATAAGAAAAAACACATCCCACACACTTGTGCGTTCTATCATTACCATTTTTTGAAAGTTTAAGATTTCTCCTGGCTGGAATTGTGAAGGGAAGTTAGGCCTATCATGTGCCCATCCCACATTGCTCAAAGCAGGTGTTCCCCTCAAACACTAGTAACCACTTCTTCCTAACACTCATTGCAGAACTGGCCTCTCCAAAACATGAATTGGTAATAATACAGTAATAATTTAAAGCACTGTTCATTGGAGGCTGGCTGGGTTGTACTCTTGCATGTGAAACTCTGCATTTTAAGGATATTTTTCTACATTTTAATATCTTATCTATTCAGGACAAGTGGCATCCGTGTTTTGAGTGTTACTTCATCAGTTATTCTTGTCTTTGATGTAGGCTATCCTCACCATGTGTTGTCATAATAATTCACAACCTTACATTGTCTAGTCTAGACCTGATAATAATTATTGTTCTAAACCTAAAGAAAGGCTCTGATGAGTTTGCTTTTGGTGGATCCTTGACCTTACCGTTTCCCGAAATGCGTGGGTAGTGACCGTACACTCAACGACTGTCTTACCACGAGGCGCGGTTGTAAACCGATATGACCATTTCATAATGTCATAGTGATTCAGCAATAAGCTGCCCACCGCTAGTGTCTGACGGGCGACTACAATCTCTCTCTTACATGTATTTTGTCAATAAAACTCCATTAAATATTTAACAATACATGTCTCCTCAAATTATCAATTTAAAGCAGTATGTTGTGCCTAATAATAGTGTTGTAATACAATACAGTGCTGACGTTAAATGTAGACCACATGATGTTTCAATACATAATTAAAACTATCTGAGAATAAGTTGTTGTTGTTTAATAAACCAACTTTCGTTATTAACAGAATAAAAGGGAAGATTTCTGCCTAAGTAAACATTTAATTCTCAATAAAATCCACCCATTTCCTTATACGGAAGGGAGCTGGCGAGCTAGGTGCGCCATGCTACGCTAACTCGATGCGATAGTAAACACACGGCCATTGCAAGTGCGCAGGTGGCCACCCATTTCTTTTAGCAACGTTTAAAATTGTTCATTTTAATACAATAAAAAAATGAGAACCTACACAATTTTATACAGAACACCAAATATCGAGTACAATACCTGACACGCATCTAAGATATGTACATAGTGAATATGCGGTCGTATCATTGTTGCCAAATTGTAACAATTTCTCAAGGCTAACTAAACAACATGCTAACGTTAGCTAGCTAATTTAGCTAGTACTCTAGCTAGCACAATAGCCAACAACATGGATTAGCCAATGCTAGGTGGCTAACCCGAAAAGCAAACAGCTGCCTACTTACTTGTCCTTGGCTATGTCGTTGGAGAGTACCAGCTGCCAGTCCTTCAGTTGTCGACACAATTGTATAAATAAATAAAATTTAAACACGGAGAAACGTAAAATACTGTGTTCAGTCGAAGCGAATCAAGCGACAAAATGTCAGTTCGTCTTTTCCCGGAATTAATCTGTTCTGTGGGGTTGGATTCTTTCATTCACAAAAAACACAGTAACAATGACGTAAACTCTAAAGAATGAGGGTGGATCCCGCCCGCCCCAAGCGTACGAGCTGGAAGGATGTAAACAATAAGGATTCCCTGCGTCCTAAACTTTTCCATGATGATGACCTGCTTCTCCTTTCCTATCCGTATTGATTTAGAAAGTCACTGCATGGGAAAGGAAAATAGATTAGAGAAGAATGACATCCCAAAGGAATAGTCAGCTGCCTTTGCTGCTTGCTCATATGGAACACGTAGTGAATGTTAGTGAAAATGACTTTCATGTTTATAAAGGTGAAATAAAAAGCAACAACCTGAAATTCCAATTATGCTTATAGAAAGGGGAGAGGCTGACTCCTTACTAATACATTGCATTTGGAAATCACAAATGTTGAGGCTCTCCTTATAGTGGATTACTAGCCCAAATATCACAATTTCTAATACAGAAATACTATAAACTGTATGTTCATAACAAACTTTTTTTTTTAAAGTTTTTTTTTTAACCGTTTTTTGTTGAATCCGGAAACACACTATTAGACCTCTCGTACGACAGAGGGCGCAATTTATTTAAGCGAGTCAGGCATGTAACCCTTTTGGCCATACTGTTTGCTTTGCAGTGTGTGGAGGAAGTCAAACAAGACAGAGTAGATATTTGCTCTGATTCATGTGCAGTGTTAATGAGTCTCCAGTCCTTTAGCTCACAAGACCTGCTTCATGAGGTGCTACAAACCCATGGCAAGATTAAACAGATGGGTATAAAGATCAGATTTACTTGGGTCCCAGCCCATTTGGGGGTGGAGGGGAACGAGGCAGTAGATTAACAGGCTAAACAAGCACTTAGTAGTGGGGATGTTGATGTTGAAGTTTCAATGAGCAAGGCAGAGGCAAAAAGACTGATCTATACAGTGATGGTCCAGTGTAGCTCAGTTGGTAGAGCATGTGGGTTCGTTTCCCACGGGTGACCAGTATGAAGAAAAAAAAATGGATGCACTAACTGTAAGTCGCTCTGGATAAGAGCGTCTGCTAAATGACTAAAATGTAAAATGTAAATGTAATGGTGCAGAGATGGCAGGAGCAGTGGAATAGAGACAATAAGGGCAGGCATTTATTTCAAGTACAGATGAAAGTCGGGGAGGGGAGGACGGCAGGAAGGGACAGAAGAGAGGAGGCTATTTTTACAAGCTTATGGGTGGGACACAGCCAGTTGAATAAGACATTAAATGTGATAGGAAAGCATCCAACAGGAAAGTTTGTTTATTGTCAGGAAACAGAGACCTTGGAGCATGTACTGTGGGCAGTATCAGAGGGAAAGAGAGATGATGAGCTCTAGTATGAGGGAGAAGGGGATACAGGAAATTAGTTTAAAGAGTATATTGAGTAGAAGTCGCTCTGGATAAGAGCGTCTGCTAAATGACTAAAATGTAAATGTAAATGTAACGTCATTAGATATAGTCTCAAATATTTTGTTATCTTTTTTAAGAGCAAGGTTGGCAGGTAGGATTTAGTTTCTCCCTGTCTCTGGCCCACACTCCAGTACAGTAGGTGGCGGTAATGCACCATAACGTTGGCTGCCAACCGCCGATAACCCCCACTGAAGAAGAAGAAGTAACCATTTTGCGGTCATCGATCCAACGCACATGCAGCTTTTACCCAAGTGACCTCAGGTTGTCGCAGGACCAATGCTCACTCTTGGGTCCAACATTTATGCAAGCCGGGGTCAACGCAATAATTCCACGATAAAATATAAAAATACTGATTTGCCCTTCCACCGATTGAGGTACATTTTAAATTAGCTAAACACACCGGCTGGTAAGCGGCACGAGAACAGTTTTCCATGGCTGGAATCGTAGAGCTATCACCGGCTGCGGGCCCAGTCGAGACCCGGCCCCCAGAAGGCGAGATCGATGAAGATGAAGATGAAGAGGTATAGATTAATGGAAACTTGACACCTGTCACCCCGTAACTGTTATGCACGATCATACGTACAGTTTCACTTGAATGATACGCCTATTTGACTAGCTAGCTGGCTGTGGCTACTGGGTCATTTGTTATGCGAGTAATTGCTAGCTAGTTTGCTAACGTTAGCGTGGTAGCCGGCTAGCTAACTGTCACATGACATGTACAGCTCTAATAGCTGTTTTACATGTGTCTGTACTGTAATTGACTGTACTGTAAATTTTAATTAAATGAAATAAGATAAGCTAGATAAGTCAGATGTCCCATGGTAGGAATTGTCTAAAAATCTCATGTGTCATTCAGTGATCTATAGCTTACAGTACTAAGTAGTACCCCAACAGAGCTGGTTACTTTTGAGACATTCAAATACGTAATTCATGTAGTTACTATATACACTATATATACAAAAGTATATGGACACCCCTTCAAATTGATATATTCGGCTATTTCAGCCACACCCTTTGCTAACAGGTGTATAAAATCAAGCACAGAGCCATGCAATCTCCATAGACATATGATGCCACCTTTCCAACAAGTCAGTTTGTCAAATTTCTGCCCTGCTAGAGCTGCCCCGGTCAACTGTAAGTGCTGTTATTGTGAAGTGGAAATGTCTAGGAGCAACAACGGCTCAACCGCGAAGTGGTAGGCCACACAAGCTCGCAGAACAGGACCACCGAGTGCTGAAGCAGGTAGCGTGTAAAAATCGTCTGTCCTCGGTTGCAACACTCACTACCGAGTTCCAAACTGTGCCTCTGTAAGCAACGTCAGCACTATAACTGTTCGTTGGGAGCCGAGCAGCCGCACACAAGCCTAAGATCACCATGCGGAATGCCAAGCGTCAGCTGGAGTGGTGTAAAGCTTGCCGCCATTGGACTCTGGAGCAGTGAAAACGTGTTCTCTGGAGAGATTAATCATGCTACACCATCTGGCAGTCCGACGGACGAGTCTGCGTTTGGCGGATGCCAGGAGGACGCTACCTGCCCGAATGCATTGTGCCAACTGTAAAGTTTGGTGGAGGAGGAATAATGGTCTGGGGCTGTTTTTCATGGTTTGGGCTAGGCCCCTTAGTTCCAGTGAAGGGAAATGTTAACGCTACAGCATACAATGACATTCTAGAGGATTCTGTGCTTCCAAATTTGTGGCAACAGTTTGGGGAAGGCCCTTTCCTGTTTCAGCATGACAATGCAGAAAATGGTTTGTCGAGATCGTTGTGGAAGAACTTGACTGGCCTACACAGAGCCCTGACCTCAACCCCATTGAACACCTTTGGGAGGAATTGGAACGCCGACTGCGAACCAGGCCTAATCGCCCAACATCAATGCCCGACCTCACTAATGCGCTTGTGGCTGTGTACCTAGTGTGGTGGCAGAATTTGTTGTGAGCTGTTGTAAAAAAAAAAATCCACAACACTAGTGTACCTAATGGAAAGCCTTCCCAGAAGAGTGGAGGTTGTTACAGCAGCAAAGGGGGGGACCAACTCCATAGTGGTCCTCTGTAGCTCAATTGGTAGAGCATGGCGCTTGTAACGCCAGGGTAGTGGGTTCGATCCCCGGGACCACCCATACGTAAAAATGTATGCACACATGACTGTAAGTCGCTTTGGATAAAAGCGTCTGCTAAATGGCATATTATTTATTTATTTATTTATTTATTTATTTATATTATATATTAATGCCCATGATTTTGGATTGAGATGTTCGACGAGCAGGTGTCCACATACTTTTGGTCATTTAGTGTACCTCCATTCTTTTATTGGGTCTGAAATAACCATGTTATCTGTGTTGTAGTAACTTCCTTGTGTCTCCCTTCCCTCAGCTGGATGAGACTCTTATGGAGAGGCTGTGGGGTTTGACTGAGATGTTCCCTGCTACACTGCGCTCTGCAGCTGAGGTGACCGCATCAGGCTCAGTCACTGTGGCCAAGAAGCTGTACAGGTAAACGTTCTCCTGAAAACTGCTGTGGCTGCTCTGGGTGTATCAGCAGCCTTGGAGTAGACCTCTCGTTTTAGATCTTCACCTACCCCATTCATAGATGCTAACTACCTTTAGTGCCTATTGACGATAGTGTCTTCTGGCTGGGGGAGTTTTGTTAAGAGCCCCGACCCTTGCCCTAAACGTTAACACGCATCGCTTGCAGTACGGTTTTGGAAACACTTTTCTTATATATTTCCTATCAGCGAGAAATAATAGTAATAAAAAAAAAGGTTAAATTACTACACACCTTTATGGGGTTAGGGGTCCAATATGGCCAAATGTCCATGTTACAGCGCTTGTTTATGGAAAACACACGGAAGACAGTCCAAACAGAAGATGGACGCCACAAACGTGAAAAATACTGTCAGCTGCAACTGTGTTAAAACAGTAAGTGTATATTTAGCATTTGTGAAATTATTTTGATGTGATATCAAAGTAGAGGGCTTTATGGTTAGACTGTAAACTCAACTTCCAGACTCACATAAAGAATCTCCAATCCAAAGTTAAATCTAGAATCGGCTTCCTATTTCGCAACAAAGCCTCCTTCACTCATGCTGCCAAACATGCCCTCGTAAAACTGACTATCCTACCGATCCTTGACTTCGGCGATGTCATTTACAAAATAGCCTCCAACACTCTACTCAGCAAATTGGATGTAGTCTATCACAGTGCCATCCGTTTTGTCTCCAAAGCCCCATACACTACCCACCACTGTGACCTGTACGCTCTTGTTGGCTGGTCCTCACTACATGTTCGTCGTCAAACCCACTGGCTCCAGGCCATCTATAAATCACTGCTAGGCAAATCCCCGCCTTATCTTAGCTCATTGGTCACCATAGCAGCACCCACCCGTAGTCTGCGCTCCAGCAGGTATATCTCTCTGGTCATTCCCAAAGCCAACACCTCCTTTGGCCGCCATTCCTTCCAGTTCTCTGCTGCCAATGACTGGAACGAATTGCAAAAATCTCTGAAGCTGGAGACTCTTATCTCCCTCAATAACTTTAAGCATCAGTTGTCAGAGCACCTTACCGATCACTGCACCTGTACACAGCCCATCTGAAATTAGCCCACCCAACTACCTCATCCCTATATTGTTATTTATTTTGCTCTTTTGCACCCCAGTATCTCTATTTGCACATAATCTCTTGCACATCTAGCATTCCAGTGTTAATACTATTGTAATTATTCTGCACTATAGCCTATTGATTGCCTTACCTCCATAACTTGCTACATTTGCACACACTGTATATATATTTTCTGTTGTATTTCTGACTTTGATTTTTTTTTTACCCCATATGTAACTCTGTGTTGTTGTTTTTATTGCACTACTTTGCTTTATCTTGGCCAGGTCGCAGTTGTAAATGAGAACCTGTTCTCAACTGGCTTACCTGGTTAAATAAAGGTGAAATAAAAAATAAAAAAATATGTTTCTAGAACCGTACCGCAATTGAGAATCGATTCACGTTTAGATGGAGTATTTGGCAGTTTTGGCTGCCAGAGCCAATTCGTCTCTAAACAGAACATGTAAGGTCCTTGGACTATAAGGAGTAACGTTAGGCTCCTTTAGTCCATTATTGGGCTAATCTTCACCATACACACAGACATAATAAGGACGGAGCTGTGTGTGGATGGAGCACTATATTGCATTCACAGTTCTGAACAGCTCCTCTGTATTCCAAGGACTGTTTTCCCTGCCTGCCCCTGATCTTGCTAAGGACAGTCAGTTAGGCCATCTCTGCATTTGTTATTATCTACTTCAGTTCTCTCTCCACGTCTGTTTGTTATTTTACCCCCACCTTTCCATCTTACTTCCTGCCTCTGTTTCTTCCAGTTACTCCCGCGTTGCCCTGTGGGTGGGCACTACCTCGTTCATGATCCTGGTCCTTCCGGTGGTCTTTGAGACTGAGAGACTACAGCTGGAGCAGCAGCAGCTACAGCAGCAGAGACAGGTACTGTACTGTACTTTCCCACTGACAGACCATGTTCAGTTCCAAATACACCACCTAGGCCCTACTATAATGGCCTTGGGCTTGGCTCTGGTTTATGTCTGAAGAAACAAATGTAAATGGCCAAAAGTACACAAAAATGGCCTAGCATATCAGACAGCAAGGTGGAGATATAATCATATAGCTACAGTGAGCTCTGTACTCCAGCACCATGATTACGGATAGTGAATTAATAATAATGATGAATGAGAAAGTTAGACGCACAAGTATCATACCCCTAAGACATGCTAACCTCTCACCATTACAATAAAAGGTGAGGTTAGCATATTTGGGGGGGTATGACATTTATGCCTCTAACTTTCTCACTCATCATTATTCACGATTCATTGAAGATTATTCGTAATCATGGTAGCATCCACATTAATGTAGAATTGTTTAGAAACATTCTATTCTTATTTGCAATAAAAGTGACTCAAATGACACTATATTATTTACCATACATTTCTATTGGGCACAAAATAATCTTAAACAAAACCAAAACAAACAGCAAAAGCATCCAATAAGTTTATAGGGTCACAAGCTTAATGTAATCATTGTGTGCTAGGAATATGGGACCAAATACTAAACTTTTGACTACTTTAATGCACATATAAGTGAATTTGTCGCAATACTTTTGGTCCCCTAAAATGGGGGGGACTATGTACAAAAAGTGCTGTAATTTGTAAACAGTTCACCCAAAATGGATGTAAATACCCTCAAATTAAAGATGACAGTCTGCACTTTAACCTCATAGTCATTGTATAATTTCAAATCGAAAGTGCTGGAGTACAGAGCCAAAACAACAACAACAATGTTCACAGTCCCAATACTTTTGGAGCTCACTGTATACCTATCCTATACTTTTCGATCTACTTGAAAAGCCTTAGGGGGTTGGATTTGGAATTGGGCAAATCCCTCTTTCATTAGGATCTGCAATGTTGTCAATTAATAAATTAACAAATGTTTTTGTGATGCCACTTCCTTGTTTAGGTCTTGTTGGGCCCCAACGCAGGGATGTCAGGTGGGATGCCAGGGTTAATGACTCCCGCTCCAGTGAAGATGTGACCGATGTCCCTCCGACAGCCTTAGCGCTTCAACCAACGAGGGAGAGTGGAGGCTTGGAAGGAGAGAGAGACAAAGAAGAGGGAGAAGAGAATACAAAGCTGCATCTGGTCAGCACATGTGGTAAAAAATCATTCCAACATCCAGGATTGGCCATTTTAAGGAGATTAGAGGAGGATGATGTCACTTCCTGGGTGTTGCAATAATGTATGTCCCTTTCGCTGTCTCTCTTACTCAACATCCTGCAGAGACTTCTGCACACTGTCTTCTGAGCACTGTGTTTTTACTTCATTTCTTTTTTATACATAGCGATATAAATATGTATGTGTTCCAGGGGGTTTGGATCAGGTGGATAATTGAAGAAATTTGATTATTATTGTGGTTATAAGTGGTTACCAAGAGTGTGTGGTCTGAATAAAAATGTTTTAATGTGGGTGTGTAGCTACATATGGCCTTGAAACCGTTGTAACCTGTGTTTGGTTTGGGAACGTGTTCATTCCACTCGTGTGTGGGAAAATCATGGTAGACATTACTTACATCATAGATCCGTCATATTCACAATCACAGCTGGTCATTGAGATCTATAGTGTCTGCTGGTTTTCCTTGTTACCTCTCCATCAAGAACTGGCATACACTAGAGAAGCCAGGTAAGGTCATTGTCCATTGAGTTGGTGACTTCTTGGTTGAGGCAACAAAGACCAGCAGGCCACAAGACTCCAAAGACAAAGCCATAGATAGGGTGTTAAAGTGTTCTTTGTTGTGAGTGTTAGAATTCCGATTGAACAACTTTACAGAGGGATAGCCAATTTAAAAAGCGTTGGTGATCAGAGTATGTATGAAAAATGTATGCACTCACTAACTGTAAGTAGCTCTGGATAAGAGCGTCTGCTAAATGACTAAAATATAAATGTATGTCACGTGTTGCTTGAGACTTTTTCATTTGTGGGCATTAAAGCCATAAAAAAAATGCATCACAAAGTATATTTTAATAAGATTCAAACAGCACTTTCCCTACATACTGTATAACTCTGTAAATATATTATGTCAATGTACACATACTCCTGTCAAGCCTGAGAGAATGTCAGTTACTTTTCTCTATTGTCACTTTGGAATGTATGTTCTCTTAACTTTGCTTCCAGAGCGAATTCTATGTCTTGTGTTTTCGACTTGACTGCAGGAATAAAAACACCAACGAAATGGACATTACATTTTTTTTTATTGTCATATAAAGTGGATAGGTGCAGGGAAATGTAATGTGCTGCTTTGCCTCCTTTACAGTTAACTTGTTTGTTATTATTTACATGTACCTGACTTTCCTCTATCTGAGACATTACATTTGTATACTGTAGTAAAGTACAGGTATCTTACAGGTAAATACTACATGCATCAATATTATTCTGTGCATCAAGATCAATCACTCCCAAAGATTGTTGCTGAGGAGAGCATGAGAGCATCTCACATGTACAGTTTGACTGACATTTTACTTGATAGTTGCTGATGAGAGAGCATCTCCAGTGTAACTTTTTTGATTGCCAGTTTTCAACTTTCAGCACGAGCGTCAAACATTCCCGCCCCCTGAAAATAAATCTAAGGTGGCAAGTCATTTTTCATCTTGATAAGGTCATCATCATTAGCTTTGCAACATTTTACAGGTTTGTCAATTTAGTGAAGGAAGCAACCTCATTCTGTAGCTGTTGATAAAATCTTTCAGGAGCTATAGCTAACGTTGGGTAGCTAACAGATCGCTTGCTGACATCGCAAGAAATGTTATTTATTAACTGGTAGCATATAACGTTAGCTAGCTAGCTAGCTTGCTGGAACAAAAAACATCAAGTTTAAGAGCTAGCTACATTGCGCGAATCAAGATGAAAGCCGCCGAGGATCAAGTTGTGGAGGATGAGGCCGGATACCAAGATGATGAGGTAACCTGCCTAAACTAGCTAATATTAGCTTGCTTGCTAGCCTGGCTGCGGACAGTTTTGTTAGCTAGCATTCTCGTAGCTGCTACAGTACATTAAAAACATTTTTTCCAGGTAGAGTGGATTGTTGTAGCTAGTAAGTTAGCTATCACTCATTGTTAATCATTCATAACATAGCTAGCTAATATATTGTTTGGTAGTGGTAACTCAATTTCTACACTACTTGAATCTAGCCTAAGTCAGTGGTGTGTCAGTCAGATCATGTTACTTCTCAACATGGTTTCAAACAGGTTGTTTTGTCATATTCTTTACCCACAGGAGTCCTTTTTCCAAGACATAGACACCCTACAGAAGCATGGAATTGTGAGTATATCTGAAAACAAGGTCTAGGAAAGCAGTCTGCCCTGATCCTTGAGTGTATAGACACTTCGTCATGGGTTGGTTGGTAGATAAACTCAAGATTACACCTCAAAGCTAATAAGTAAAAAAACACTTTCTCTCTCTATTCTCTCCCACCACCACACCTCTCTCTCCCCCCTTCGCTCTCTCTCCTCTCCTTCCACCCACCCAACATTCATACAGAACATGGCAGATTTAAAGAAGCTGAAGTCTGTGGGTATCTGCACAGTGAAGGGGATCCAGATGACCACACGCAGAGCCCTGTGTAACATCAAGGGCCTTTCAGAGGCCAAGGTGGACAAGATCAAAGAGGCTGCTGGGAAAATGCTGGTGAGAGACTCAGCTGATTCACCTTCAGCATAGAGGACTTTGGTGTCTCATGATTAGTTTTGTTGTCAAGGCCCTAAAGATTTGGTTTGGGGCTGAGGTATGGAAGACATGCATCAATCAACTTCAGTTGACATGTTTTCATCTGCTCTTGTGTTCATTGTAGACCAATGGTTTCCTGACAGCATTTGAATATAGTGCAAAGAGGAAACAAGTGTTCCGCGTCACGACTGGAAGCCTGGAGTTTGAGTTAAGATTCGCCCCAACATGCTCATCTGTTCATAACCTTTCATATTAATACATTTTCCTGAGTCATGTTGCAGTATAAAAGTACTCCTATTTTACCACTTCATCCGTCGGTCTGCTCTGCAGTAAACTACTTGGAGGAGGCATGGAGAGCATGGCAATCACTGAGGCATTTGGAGGTGAGCTCTGTCTCTGACTGTGTGTCCCTTAGTCAAATATACAGTGGGGGAAAAAAGTATTTAGTCAGCCACCAATTGTGCAAGTTCTCCCACTTAAAAAGATGAGAGAGGCCTGTAATTTTCATCATAGGTACACGTCAACTATGACAGACAAATTGAGAAAAAGAAATCCAGAAAATCAAAAAAGTATTTGGTCAATAACAAAAGTTTCTCAATACTTTGTTATATACCCTTTGTTGGCAATGACACAGGTCAAACGTTTTCTGTAAGTCTTCACAAGGTTTTCACACACTGTTGCTGGTATTTTGGCCCATTCCTCCATGCAGATCTCCTCTAGAGCAGTGATGTTTTGGGGCTGTCGCTGGGCAACACAGACTTTCAACTCCCTCCAAAGATTTTCTATGGGGTTGAGATCTGGAGACTGGCTAGGCCACTCCAGGACCTTGAAATGCTTCTTACGAAGCCACTCCTTCGTTGCCCGGGCGGTGTGTTTGGGATCATTGTCATGCTGAAAGACCCAGCCACGTTTCATCTTCAATGCACTTGCTGATGGAAGGAGGTTTTCACTCAAAATCTCACGATACATGGCCCCATTCATTCTTTCCTTTACACGGATCAGTCGTCCTGGTCCCTTTGCAGAAAAACAGCCCCAAAGCATGATGTTTCCACCCCCATGCTTCACAGTAGGTATGGTGTTCTTTGGATGCAACTCAGCATTCTTTGTCCTCCAAACACGACGAGTTGAGTTTTTACCAAAAAGTTCTATTTTGGTTTCATCTGACCATATGACATTCTCCCAATCCTCTTCTGGATCATCCAAATGCACTCTAGCAAACTTAAGACGGGCCTGGACATGTACTGGCTTAAGCAGGGGGACACGTCTGGCACTGCAGGATTTGAGTCCCTGGCGGCGTAGTGTGTTACTGATGGTAGGCTTTGTTACTTTTGTCCCAGCTTTCTGCAGGTCATTCACTAGGTCCCCCCGTGTGGTTCTGGGATTTTTGCTCACCGTTCTTGTGATCATTTTAACCCCACGGGGTGAGATCTTGCGTGGAGCCCCAGATCGAGGGAGATTATCAGTGGTCTTGTATGTCTTCCATTTCCTAATAATTGCTCCCACAGTTGATTTCTTCAAACCAAGCTGCTTACCTATTGCAGATTCAGTCTTCCCAGCCTGGTGCAGGTCTACAATTTTGTTTCTGGTGTCCTTTGACAGCTCGTTGGTCTTGGCCATAGTGGAGTTTGGAGTGTGACTGTTTGAGGTTGTGGACAGGTGTCTTTTATACTGATAACAAGTTCAAACAGGTGCCATTAATACAGGTAACGAGTGGAGGACAGAGGAGCCTCTTAAAGAAGAAGTTACAGGTCTGTGAGAGCCAGAAATCTTGCTTGTTTGTAGGTGACCAAATACTTATTTTCCACCATAATTTGCAAATAAATTCATTAAAAATCCTACAATGTGATTTTCTGGATTTTATTTCCTCATTTTGTCTGTCATAGTTGACGTGTACCTATGATGAAAATTACAGGCCTCTCTCATCTTTTTAAGTGGGAGAACTTGCACAATTGGTGGCTGACTAAATACTTTTTTCCCCCACTGTATGATTAATCTCATGCTCATGATGTATAAGACTGGAAGTTGAGGCCCAATGGCTAAAATTGACCTGAGTCAGATATAAAACATGTTTTTGTCACACTGTCACTGTAAATGTTTTATCCCTCAGAGTTTCGGACAGGCAAGACCCAGCTCTCTCATACACTGTGTGGTAAGTTAATGGCTGAGGGGTCTTTTCGGTAGTCCCAGATTTCCCAGTCTTGGAAGTGAGTTTTCAGAAACGTACAGACATTCTTCCATGGTTGGTTCTTTTCATTTAGTCCTTGTCTCTGTTGTTCTTCAGTCACAGCCCAGCTTCCTGGAGAGGACGGCTACACAGGAGGAAAAGTAATCTTCATCGACACAGAGAACACCTTGTATCCTAATTTATCTGAGCTCTAATCTATAAAGTCAGATTTGGATCAATCTAAACCCAGCTAACAATTCTAGGGAGAGAGAACGTTTTTGTAATGTTACCCATAATATCTATGTTAGCAAAAACCTTCTGAGAACTTTCTTTTGCATGTTTTGGTGTTAAAGTTAGGAGAACATTCACTTAATGTCAAGCAGAATTGATCTAGAACATGGTTACAATGTTCTCAGAATATTAATGTAGACTCGTTTTATGGGAAGGTTCAAGAACATTCATGTGTGCAGTTTTCTGAGGGTTAGGAGAATATTCCATCAGTGTCACATCAAACATACACAGACAGGATTAATATGGTCATGAAAATCCTGGAAAAGTCATGGAATTAAAATAAAATAAAATTCCAGGCCTGAAAAAGTTTTGGAAAAATATAAAACTCAAAAAGTCATGGAAATTAATTTCATGATTTCTGTTAATGTAATTTATTTATGCACAGTTTTTAAATATTTTATCATAAATAGAAATCAACACTTCAGCCAGGATCGGTTTGGCGCTTTAGCGCGTCTGTGTTTGCGCGCATGACCTGCATGTGTGTGAGATGAGTGGGCCATTGCTCAAGGAGACAGAGACAGTTGGACATTGCGGCAGCAGGTAGACAGGCCTATAAAATATGATGGAGAACAGACTAATAACTAGGTAGCCAGTTGAAACATATCTTGTACCCTCTAGTTAACTGTTAAGATATTATTAGCATGTATTAATGTTTTAGTCATGTCCCAAAAAAGTTTCCACTGACACTCGCGAAAAAGGCCATACAAAGTTGACAAACTTTTTGGGAACAATTCATATGATTCATTTAAACTATTATTTTTTGACGAAACAAACAACTCACTTAACCATTGTATTAGTTGGGATTGGGTTCAATCGCGGTGAATTGAATCATGTGAATCCCCAATTTTTTTTTTATGTAGCCTTTCTTTTGAATTATGTGGCTTCAAAACTTGTTTTTTCTCCCATTGTTCTCTGCAGATCCTCTCAAGCTCTGTCAGGTTGGATGGGGAGCATCGCTGCACAGCTATTTTCAGGTCTCTCCAGAGATGTTAGATCAGGTTAAAGTCTGGGCTCTGGCTGGGCCACTCAAGGACATTCAGAGACTTGTCCCGAAGCCACTCCTGCGTTGCCTTGGCTGTGTACTTAGGGTCGTTGTCCTGTTGGAAGGTAAACCTTCACCCCAGTCTGAGGTCCTGAGCGCTCTGGAGCAGGTTTTCATCAAGGCTCTCTGTACTTTGCTCCGTTCATCTTTCCCTCGATCCTGACTAGTCTCCCTGTCCCTACCGCTGAAAAACATCCCCACAGCATGATGCTGTCACCACTATGCTTCACAGTAGGAATGGTGCCAGGTTTCCTCCAGACGTGACGCTTGGCATTCAGGCCAAAGAGTTCAATCTTGGTTTCATCAGACCAGAGAACCTTGTTTTCATGGTTTAAGAGTCCTTTAGGTGCCTTTTGGAAAACTCCAAGCGGGCTGTCATGTGCCTTTTACTGAGGAGTGGCTTCCGTCTGGCCACTCTACCATAAAGGCCTGATTGGTGGAGTGCTGCAGAGATGGTTGTCCTTCTGGAAGGTTCTCCCATCTTCACAGAGGAACTCTGGAGCTCTGTCAGAGTGACCATCGGGTTCTTGGTCACCTCCCTGACCAAGGCCCTTCTCCCCCGATTGCTCAGTTTGGCCGGGCGGCCAGCTTTAGGAAGAGTCTTGGTGGTTCCAAACTTCTTCCATTTAAGAATGATTGAGGCCACTGTGTTCTTGGGGACCTTCAATGCTACAGAAATCTTTTGGTACCCTTCCCCAGATCTGTGCCTTGACACAATCCTGTCTCGGAACTCTACGGACAATTCCTTCAACCTCATGGCTTGGTTTTTGCTCTGACATGCACTGTGGGACCTTATATAGACAGGTGTGTGCCTTTCCAAATCATGTCCAATCAATTGAATTTACCACAGGTGGACGACAATCAAATTGTAGAAACATCTCAAGGATGATCAATGGAAACAGGATGCACCTGAGCTCAATTTCGAGTCTCATAGCAAAGGGTCTGAATACTTATGTACATTTTACATTTTAGTCATTTAGCAGACGCTCTTATCCAGAGCGACTTACAGTTAGTGCATACATTATTATTATTATTTTTCATACTGGCCCCCCGTGGGAATCGAACCCACAACCCTGGCGTTGCAAACGCCATGCTCTACCAACTGAGCTACATCCCTGCCAGCCATTCCCTCCCCTACCCTGGACGACGCTGGGCCAATTGTGCGCCGCCCCATGGGTCTCCCGGTCGCGGCCGGCTACGACAGAGCCTGGATTCGAACCAGGATCTCTAGTGGCACAGCTAGCACTGCGATGCAGTGCCTTAGACCACTGCGCCACTCGGGAGGTTAAATAAGGTATTCTGTTTTTTATTTTTAATACATTTGCAAACATTTCTAAAAACCTGTTCGCTTTGTCATTATGGGGTATTGTGTGTAGATTGAGGACATAAAAAAATGAAAAATTTTTTTAGAATAAGGCTTTAACGTAACAAAATGTGGAAAAAGTCAAGGGGTCTGAATACTTTCCAAATGCACTGTAAGTATGACTATCGGTAAAATAGAAAAGGTACATTTCCTGAAGAACATTTGATTCAGGAGTATCATTAAAACAGGTTAATAAACTCCACTAACATTAGGCAACTATACAGAAAGCCCTTCAATTGCTGAAGTAAGTAAATAAAATAAATGATGAGAATAGTCAGATTAACTGATACCTGACATGGACATGGTGGCGTAGCAGGAAGATCGGAGGACCGTGAACCAAGAGATTGTGAGTTCAAATCTCAGGTGAGGACATGTTGAAATAATAATTACTGTATAAATGAACATGCACAATGTAATCATGTATGTCAAATATGTAAGTTGAAAATACTATGTTAAAAGCACTGTCTGTGAGTATCCCTTGCCAACAGACAAAGAGCAATTAATGGAACAGTGGTTCACCTATCGAGTCCTTGATTGACTCGGCAACAGTAACAAGGTGTAATGGATTTTTCTTTGGACACAAATGTTCTTTCAACGTTCCCATGAAACGTGTTTAGAACATTAATATCAAAATGTTCTGAGAACATGGCAACCATGTTCTGTGTATGTTTGGTAGGACATTGATGGAATATTCTCCTAACCCACAGAAACTGGACACATGAATGTTCTTGCAATGTTCCCATGAAATGTGTCTAGAACATTAGTATATTAAGTTCTGAGAACATGGTAACCACGTTCTGGGTAAGTTCTATTTGACATTAAGGGAATGGTCTATTGGAAACATTCCTTGTACATCACGGTTAGTTAATGACCTAGTGAGCCTCTTTAGGGAACATTCTCTAAAGTTGTGGGAACATTTGTTGTTAGCTGGGAAATCAACTGTACCTTTGCAAGTATTTCTGAAGATACAGGGTCTTAAATATCACAGTCTATTTTATTCACATGACTCAGCCAATAGAGTCTCTTACAAAATCCTATGTTTTCCTTAACCCGATGTGACCCTCTAGTCGTCCAGACAGGCTGAAGGACATAGCAGACAGGTTCAATGTGGACCATGATGCTGTGCTGGACAATGTGTTATACGCCCGAGCCTACACCAGTAAGATATCTAACTTACTCATTAAACAGTACCTCTCTATCATTACTGCCTAAACCTGAGAACATATTGTCTGAGGAAAGCAGTTTCACTATCTTAGATATGAATGTTAAGTATACATTTTGAGTCTGTTGTTTGTAAACAAAAAAATACTGTATACATTTGAGGCTGATTGCTGTGTTTCCTAACTGGTACTTATGACATCAGACGATTAGGTATTTGTACTGTATACCTAATTGGATTTCAACTTCAGGTGAACACCAGATGGAGCTGTTGGATTTTGTGGCAGCCAAATTCCACGAGGAGGGCGGCGTCTTCAAACTTCTGGTATTAATGAAAATAAAAGATAATCAATATCACCTGTCACATTGTTTTATGGTAGTTATATTTTCATATTGTCAACTTCCATCACTGTACCTATCTTTCGGTAACACTTTAATTAATGCCAACAGGTATAATGCATTATTATGTTTAATACGCATTTATAATGTCTTGTGTCTCTATGTCTTTCCCCTTCCTCCCCTCAGATCATAGACTCCATCATGGCTCTGTTCCGGGTAGATTTTCTCTGGGCGAGGGGAGCTGGCAGAGAGACAGCAGAAGCTGGCCCAGATGCTCTCCCGTCTGCAGAAGATCTCTGAAGGTCTGGCGACTTCTCTTGCAGACTTATATGCAAACTATGGAAATAGTAGACGTACATTGCAGCAGAATAACTGGCAGAAAAACTCTTGACTTTTGCATAAACCTTGCATTGATGTAGACGTATTGATATTCATGTCTTCTGCTCTCCTCTCCCTAGAGTACAACGTTGCAGTGTTTGTCACCAACCAGATGACTGCAGACCCTGGAGCTGGGATGTCGTAAGTGACTGTAACTAGATTTAGGAACTAGGGATTGGTTTGGAATTGGACGGCAAGTCAGCAACTCACTCACTTGGCTAAAGTTCTAACAGGTTTTGGCCTGAAATTCTGATCTGAGGGTTTCTCTTGTCTCTGTCAGGTTCCAAGCTGATCCCAAGAAGCCAATTGGAGGGCACATCCTGGCACATGCGTCCACCACACGAATCAGCTTGAGGAAAGGACGCGGAGAGTTGAGAATTGCCAAGATATTTGACAGGTAATTAGTCTGAAAGTTCACCCACTCAATATATGTTGTTCTCATTATTCCTTAGTAATAACAACCCCCCCCCCCCCCCCCCCTTGCATTGTAAAGAAATGGTCGAATAGGATTTTTCTCGCTTATGGAGAAAGATCTACCTCATCATAGCTTCGTTCTTTTCCATGATCTCCTGCAGTCCTGATATGCCTGAGAATGAGGCCACTTTCGCCATCACTCCAGGGGGAATTGCTGATGCCAAAGAGTGAAAGACCCTCATGGATTTACCAGTAGAGGACATTTTGTTGTGTTACAAAGTGGGATTAAAATATATTTAATTGTCTTTTTTTTGGTCAACAATCTACACAAAATACTCTTGTCAAAGTGGAAGAAAAATACCCATTATACCAACCCTACCATGTCACAACACAACTGATTGGCTCAAACGCATTAAGAAGGAATAAAATTCCACAAATTAACTTTTAACAAGGCACACCTGTTAATTGAAATGCATTCCAGGTGACTACCTCATGAAGCTGGTTGAGAGAATGCCAAGAGTGTGCAAAGCTGTCATCAAGGCAAAGGGTGGCTATTTGAAGAATCTCAAATATATAATATATTTTCATTTGTTTAACACTTTTTTGGTTACTAGATGATTCCATATGTGTTATTTCATAGTTTTGATGTCTTCACTATTATTATACAATGTAGAAAATAGTAAAAAAGAAAAGAAAAACCCTTGAATGAGTAAGTGTGTTCAAACTTTTGACTGGTACTGTGTATATATACAGTACCAGTCAAATGTTGAGGTTGGGTGATTGTGTAGGCCAGGTCATCTGATGCAGCACTCCATCACTCTCCTTGGTCAAATAGCCCTTACACAGCCTGGAGGTGTGTTGGATCATTGTCCTGTTGAAAAACAAATGATAGTCCCACTAAGTGCAAACCAGATGGGATGGCGTATCACTGCAGAATGCTGTGGTAGCCATGCTGGTTAAGTGTGCCTTGAATTCTAAATAAATCACAGACAGTTTCACCAGCAAAGCACCCCCACACCATAACACCACCTCCTCCATGCTTTACGGTGGGAAATACACAATAATATAATAATATATAATATGCCATTTAGCAGACGCTTTTATCCAAAGCGACTTACAGTCATGCGTGCATACATTTTTGTGTATGGGTGGTCCCGGGGATCGAACCCACTACCTTGGCGTTACAAGCGCCGTGCTCTACCAGCTGAGCTACAGAGGACCACATTACAGAGGACACATGCAGAGATCATCCGTTCACCCACACCGCGTCTCACAAATCCACTGCGGTTGGAACCAAAAATCTTGAATTTGGACTCCAGACCAAAGGACACATTTCCACTGTTCTATTTTCCATTGCTCGTGTTTCTTGGCCCAAGCAAGTCTCTTCTTCTTATTATAATATAATAATATGCCATTTACAAGCGCCGTGCTCTACCAGCTGAGCTACAGAGGACCACATTACAGAGGACACATGCAGAGATCATCCGTTCACCCACACCGCGTCTCACAAATCCACTGCGGTTGGAACCAAAAATCTTGAATTTGGACTCCAGACCAAAGGACACATTTCCACTGTTCTATTTTCCATTGCTCGTGTTTCTTGGCCCAAGCAAGTCTCTTCTTATTATTATAATATAATAATATGCCATTTAGCAGACGCTTTTATCCAAAGCGACTTACAGTCATGCGTGCATACATTTTTTTGTGTATGGGTGGTCCCGGGGATCGAACCCACTACCTTGGCGTTACAAGCGCCGTGCTCTACCAGCTGAGCTACAGAGTGTCCTTTAGTAGTGCTTTCTTTGCAGCAATCGACCATGAAGGTCTGATTCACACAGTCTCCTCTGAACAGTTGATGTTGAGATGTGTCTGGTACTTGAACTCTGTGAAGCATTTATTTAGGCTGCAATTTCTGAGGCTGGTAACTCTAATGAACAAATCCTCTGCAGCAGAGGTAACTCTGGGTCTTCCTTTCCTGTGGCGTTCCTCATGAGAGCCAGTTTCATCATAGCGCTTGATGTTTTTTGCGACTGCATTTGAAGAAACTTTCAAAGTTCTTGAAATGTTCCGTATTGACTGACCTTCATGTCTTAAAGTAATGATGGACTGTCGTTTCTCTTTGCTTATTTGAGCTGTTCTTGCCATAATATGGACTTGGTCTTTTACCAAATAGGGCTATCTTCTGTATACCAACCCTACCTTGTCACAACACAACTGATTGGCTCAAACGCATTAAGAAGGAAAGAAATTCCACAAATGAACTTTTAACAAGGCACACCTGTTAATTGAAATGCATTCCAGGTGACTACCTCATGAAGCTGGTTGAGAGAATGCCAAGAGTGTGCAATGCTGTCATCAAGGCAAAGGGTGGCTACTTTGAAGAATCTCAAGTATAAAATATATTTTCATTTGTTTAACACTTTTTTGGTTCCTACATGATTCCATATGTGTTATTTCATAGTTTTGATGTCTTCACAATTATCCTACAATGTAGAAAATAGTAAAAATTAAGAAAAAGCCTTGAATGAGTACGTGTTTCCAAACTTTTGACTGGTACTGTATATACACACACATATACAGTGGGGAGAACAAGTATTTGATACACTGCCGATTTTGCAGGTTTTCCTACTTACAAAGCATGTAGAGGTCTGTAATTTTTATCATAGGTACACTTCCACTGTGAGAGACGGAATCTAAAACAACAATCCAGAAAATCACATTGTATGATTATTAAGTAATTAATTTGCATTTTATTGCATGACATAAGTATTTGATACATCAGAAAAGCAGAACTTAATATTTGGTACAGAAACCTTTGTTTGCAATTACAGAGATCATACGTTTCCTGTAGGTCTTGACCAGGTTTGCACACACTGCAGCAGGGATTTTGGCCCACTCCTCCATACAGACCTTCTCCAGATCCTTCAGGTTTCGGGGATGTCGCTGGGCAATACGGACTTTCAGCTCCCTCCAAAGATGTTCTATTGGGTTCAGGTCTGGAGACTGGCTAGGCCACTCCAGGACCTTGAGATGCTTCTTACGGAGCCACTACTTAGTTGCCCTGGCTGTGTGTTTCGGGTCGTTGTCATGCTGGAAGACCCAGCCACGACCCATCTTCAATGCTCTTACTGAGGGAAGGAGGTTGTTGGCCAAGATCTCGCGATACATGGCCCCATCCATCCTCCCCTCAATATGGTGCAGTCTTCCTGTCCCCTTTGCAGAAAAGCATCCCCAAAGAATGATGTTTCCACCTCCATGCTTCACGGTTGGGATGGTGTTCTTGGGGTTGTACTCATCCTTCTTCTTCCTCCAAACACGGCGAGAGGAGTTTAGACCAAAAAGCTCTATTTTTGTCTCATCAGACCACATGACCTTCTCCCATTCCTCCTCTGGCTCATCCAGATGGTCATTGGCAAACTTCAGACGGGCCTGGACATGCGCTGGCTTGAGCAGGGGGACCTTGCGTGCGCTGCAGGATTTTAATCCATGATGGCGTAGTGTGTTACTAATGGTTTTCTTTGAGACTGTGGTCCCAGCTCTCTTCAGGTCATTGACCAGGTCCTGCCGTGTAGTTCTGGGCTGATCCCTCACCTTCCTCATGATCATTGATGCCCCACGAGGTGAGATCTTGCATGGAGCCCCAGACCGAGGGTGATTGACCATCATCTTGAACTTCCATTTTCTAATAATTGCGCCAACAGTTGTTACCTTCTCACCAAGCTGCTTGCCTATTGTCCTGTAGCCCATCACAGCCTTGTGCAGGTCTACAATTTTATTTCTGATGTCCTTACGCAGCTCTCTGGTCTTGGCCATTGTGGAGATGTTGGAGTCTGTTTGAGTGTGTGGACAGGTGTCTTTTATACAGGTAACGAGTTCAAACAGGTGCAGTTAATACAGGTAATGAGTGGAGAACAGGAGGGCTTCTTAAAGAAAAACTAACAGGTCTGTGAGAGCCGGAATTCTTACTGGTTGGTAGGTGATCAAATACTTATGTCATGCAATAAAATGCAAATTAATTACTTAAAAATCATACAATGTGATTTTCTAGATTTTTGTTTTAGATTCCGTCTCTCACAGTTGAAGTGTACCTATGATAAAAATTACAGACCTCTACATGCTTTGTAAGTAGGAAAACCAGCAAAATCGGCAGTTTATCAAATACTTGTTCTCCCCACTGTATATACAGCTGCGGAAAAAAATAAGAGACCACTGCAAAATTATCAGCTTCTCTGGTTTTACTATTTAAAGATATGTGTTTGGGTAAAAATAACATTTTTGTTTTATTCTATAAACTACTGACAACATTTCTCCCAAATTCCAAATAAAAATATTGTCATTTAGAGCATTTATTTGCAGAAAATGACAACTGGTCAAAATAACAACAAAAAATGCAGTGTTGTCAGACCTCGAATAATGCAAAGAAAATAAGTTAATGTTCATTTTTAAACAACACAATACTAATGTTTTAAGTAAGGAAGAGTTCAGAAATCAATATTTGGTGGAATAACCCTGATTTTCAATCACAGCTTTCATGCGTCTTGGCATGCTCTCCACCGGTCTTTCACATTGATGTTGGGTGACTTTATGCCACTCCTGGCGCAAAAATTCAAGCAGCTCGGCTTTGTTTGATGGCTTGTGACCATCCATCTTCCTCTTGATCACATTCCAGAAGTTTTCAATGGGGGTCAGGTCTGGAGATTGGGCTGGCCATGACAGGGTCTTGATCTGGTGGTCCTCCATCCACACCTTGATTGACCTGTCTGTGTGGCATGGCACATCGTCCTGCTGGAAAAACCAATCCTCAGAGTTGGGGAACAATGTCAGAGCAAAAGGAAGCAAGTTTTCTTCCAGGACAACCTTGTACGTGGCTTGATTCATGCGTCCTTCACAAAGACAAATCTGCCCGATTCCAGCCTTGCTGAAGCACCCCCAGATCATCACCGATCCTCCACCAAATTTCACAGTGGGTGAGAGATACTGTGGCTTG